CAACTGTCATTGGCAATGCCTGTTACTAGTTCATTTCAAAATGTGAGGTAAAACCAAGTATACGTTCATCAGTATGAATAAATCTGAATTCCTTTGCATGTAAGGTTATGGAGACAATAATTAGAAGTAAAAGTAGACAATTATCTGTATTATGGTAGTCATAAACTAAGGGATAGTCAATGTAGATTTAAAATATTGGTCACGCTTTAGTAACTTATTGGAATGTTTTAACAAATAACAGCAGCAATGGATAGCAGCATATAATATGGTATAAGAGCATATATTTACATGAAATCTGTATAAGTATATTCATTAACTGAATTTCTTTACATAAATATACTGGAAATAATTTGCATCCCTGTATTGTCTTCAAAATAAATACTTTGTTTATTAATATCTATAAACTTCAAACAGTACAAACAGCAGCCATTTTTACTTTGATATTTTCCTTCCATTTTGTTCTTTTTTATGAAAAGACCTTAAATTTGACCTTGTAAAATGAGAAACTCCCTTTGTATACAAGTGTGGTCTGTGCTTCTAATGCAAGAAGTCATAACCCCTTATTCCCTGTTCAACATTCTTCCCGAAACCTCATTGTAAACAAGACAGCAGAAAACTAATGGCCTTTTTGACCAACAGCCATCACAGAGAAACAGTGTTCCCTTGTGTAAAGGTCTATGTAATCATCCAAGAAATGTCTCTCTTTCACTCGAAAACAAAAACTGTGCCTTCTGAATAAGGTCAGCAACATGGGTTGCAGGGCCTAACACACAGAAACCAAATGATTTGAATAAAAATCAGAAACAAAACCAAATTTAAATAAAAATGTTAGTACGTATTTCATAAGGTTATATTTGAAAAGAGTTGCAAAACCTCTTAAAATTAGTCTAACTTAATATAAGTTTCTTAATGATCCAAATGAGTGTAATTAAATTTTGTAATTGTAAAACTGTTTCTTAAAGATCTTAACTGCTCTACATTAAATGAAAGTCGGAAGTGAAGTAAATGAACTGAAGGCTTCATTGAAAGATTATGACAAATAAAGGGCGCAATTAAGTGTTACTAAAACAAAGCATTTTACTAGATTTAAATGAATTAATGTTATAGCATATCACTTCATTATGATACCGCTTTGGGTGAAGCATAATGAATGTAAACGTTTGGCTTCATCATTTTCTTCTCAGATATAAAGTGCAGGCATTTTAATAACATTAAGATATTGAAAATAACACTGCAGTAATGAGAATTCATGATAATTCAGAGGCCAATATGTAATAATATCAGCTGAAAACACAGTAAGCAGCATTCCAGGAATGTTAGACCACCTCAAAAAATGTGGAGTTCATGTTTTATTGATTTAACATCCATTATCCACATACTGTTCAATCTGCTGTCACGGAAAAATGCACGATGAACTCCCCCTTATAGAAAAGCATACACCTCTCTGTACTTTATCCTTTAGTTTAGTCATACACATAATTAATTAATCACTAAGGATGAATGCACCAGTAGCTGTTTACACGAAAGCATATACCATTATGAGTTGCTGATTCAGTAATCCTACCACACCACACATTCTTCTCACTTCAACTGCATATATAACCAAAGGTACATCAAAATGACATGGGCAATGAATTAAACTGTATGACAGCAGTTGTTTAACAAAACACTCACAGGTTAGGGAAATATTTTGTAATTTCCCCAAAATATACCCCAAAACTGCGCAAAACCTTTTACATTGACAGATCATTGCTATTTTAAATGTTTAAAAAATATTGGTTTCAAATACAGATTCAAAGCATTTTACCATGCTTGCCACAAAAAGATAGAAATTCAAAACAGATGAATAAAATATGTATTCACTGCAGTGTCATTAACTTTTATTTTTTAAATATGTATGGCACCCAATGTCTTGACTAGTTTCAATATTTGATCTTGGTACATTCAATCTTAAGAATATTATTAGAGAGCCCTAGGACAACAAAAAAGAATTCTAAGGGGATTAGTGCTGCTCTCAAATTTCTCTTGCTTAGAAATTATTTTTTAGAGACCAAGAAGCAAAGCAGAGTGAACGCTAGAAAAATGATCATAATTTATGGAAATCCAAAGTAGGAATAATTTCAAGCCTTTTAAATATTATTATTACATAATATTACATAAAGTACTTGTTTGCACGAATTAATTTCAAACAAAATTCAAACTATTGCAACTCATTAATCTTTTTTTTTCATTTTCCACATTGTACCATTCCTGTAGTTGCGCCCTTGAGCAAAGTACTTCACTCACATTGCTGAAGAACATGCCCTGATGAATAAATGGGTACTCTCCAGGTCGTCATTATAAATTAAAATTTGTTCTCAGTAAACTGATTAAATAAAAGATTAAATTCAATTAAATTAAATTACTAATGCAGCTTTATACAATAGAAAAAATCTTAATAGAACAGTTCCTTTGTAAGCATTTTTTTCCTTACTTGGTAAACAGTTATGAATCTTCAAATGCATGGCTCTCAAATACAAAGGCATGACTTCTCTGTATTTGTATGGATAGTAAAGGTTTGTATTAACCTATGCCACACTATAGCCTTTAGATCCTTGTGAGGCTCACTTGCGTTTTCTGGTTTTACAAAATCATCCTAAAGCTTTGGTAACAAACAATATAACAAGATTGCCTAAAAAAACCATAAAGTTACCGATGATTTTGAGTCGATTTTCTGTGGGTGCTCCAGTCCACAAACCGGCCCTGGTGTACGTGTGTACTTATGTATATTTAAATACATAAGTAATTTCTAGCACTATTAAAGGGAAAGGAAAACATTGCAAAATATGCCTACCATTTTATTCCAATTTTAACTACTGTATGAATAACAAGAAAGTACATGAATGTGTTAGCAAGCAGACCATATTCACGGTGATGGATATTAGTTTGAATCAATATTGGGAAAGCGCAATGATAAAAGAAAATTTTTCTTATTACGTTTATTTCTCACAATAAACACTTTACCTAGAGAATATTTTAGACCTTTCAGCCTTGACTCAAGGGCTTAAATTTCAACTTATGTCTCTTACATACAATGGCTGAGTTCCTGAATGAAGTGCAATAAGGCTACTGTTAAGTATAGTCTAGGCTAGCTGCCTGTGTTGTGAGTGGTAAGTGTATAGGTATACAGCATGACATTTAAACAGTTTTTAGTCCAGGTTGAGTTCAAATACAATGAACAGGACTTCATAAACACAGTACTGACGTTTTATTAAACAAACATACTGTACCAATTTACTGTGTAAATTAACTGTTGAAATTGACATTGGTCATCATTAAGCTTTATCAGCCAAGACTTTTCAGTAAAGACATAGACTTGTAGCATGTAGCCACTGTTAGAAGTAATACAGTGTCACACTGTACAAGATTGTAGAATCCTGCAGTCCTGTTCCATTCCTCCCATAGAGCCTCAGCAAGCAGGTTGTTCACCGTTCTCTGAACCCTAGATGAAAGCTACCCTTAAGCTCACCTCACAGATTTTCAATTGATCTTAAAGGGGACCTGCAGTCCCAATTTCTCAGGCCAGTTATTAAATCTCGATAGCAAAACAAATCGACTCTACCGCAAGATTTTACCATTATTAAAATAAGTGTGAAATTGATAACTTTCTGAAAGAACTGTATGGTGTTCATGTTGACATAAACCACTGGTCTCCCCAATGGCAAGATTGAGAGTTTGAGAAAATTGTGATGAAAAAGCAGCCCTTCCTGCTCACTAGTCATTGTAAACAAATGAATAACATGGTCTCTCAACGTTAATTAATGAGTGTATTTTATTTGTTTGGCAGGTTGCTCTTTGCAATACTTAAAAGTATATAAAAAACATGTTGCCTATATGTGTTAGTTTATATGAAAATATTTATATGGCAGTAAAATTTGCTTTTTGAGCAATGAGCGCTCAACCGGAAGTACAACGCATACAATGCAAATGCAAGGAAAGAAGGAAAGCGAGAGGAGCATAGATGTCTGTTCGATGCTTTGTGTTTGTTGTTT